TCCGCCGATGCACAAGGAGGAAATTAATAAACAAGTACAAGAACTCATCGAGAACGATGTCATTCAACCATCCACTTCACCGTACAACTCCCCCTTGTGGATCGTGCCAAAGAAACCGGACTCGAAAGGTAACAAACGCTGGCGCATGGTAATAGATTATCGGGCGCTGAATGAAAAAACGATCGGGGACGCGTACCCTCTACCGAACATAGTGGAAATCCTCGATCAACTAGGAAGCGCGAAGTATTTTAGCGTATTCGATTTAGCATCGGGTTTCCATCAAATCAAAATGGATAAAACACACGCCCATAAAACGGCGTTTTCCACACCGTACGGGCACTATGAATTTAAGAGAATGCCGTTTGGGCTCAAAAACGCCCCCGCGACATTCCAAAGACTCATGGACCAGGTACTCACCGGAGGCGCCGAACTATTTGTGTACCTTGATGATATCGTATTATATTCCAGCTCACTGCGAGAGCACGAAATAAAGTTCCACAAATTGGCGGAACGACTTAGGAAGGCAGGACTGCGACTCCAGCCCGACAAGTGCGAGTTCCTCCGTAAAGAAGTCACGTACCTGGGACATGTCATAAGCGAAAGTGGAGTGAAACCCGATCCTAAAAGATAACCGCGGTTCAGAGTTTTCCCCGCCCTAAGGACCCGAAGAATATCAAACAATTTCTCGGGCTAGCGGGATACTACCGGAGGTTCATACCTAATTTCTCGAAGATAGCGCGCCCGCTTACCGATCTGCTGAAAAAGGATGAGACCTTTGTTTGGCATAAGGAACAGGAGACAGCCTTTACGCACTTCCGCGATGCATTGTGCAAAGAACCGATACTACAGTATCCGGATTTTACGAAACCTTTCGTTATAACTACCGACGCATCCGGATACGCAATAGGCGGTGTCCTGAGCCAAGGGCCGATTGGAAAAGACCTCCCTATAGCCTACACCTCCAGGTTACTAAATAAGGCCGAGCGAAACTATTCGACTATAGAAAAGGAACTATTAGCAATAGTTTACAGCGTAAATTTCTTTAGGCCTTACATATACGGTAAGAAGTTCAAATTGGTCACGGATCACAAACCTTTGGTGTGGCTACATTCAGTAAAAGACCCATCTTCCCGTCTTGTCCGATGGCGTCTAAAACTATTAGAATACGAGTATGAGGTATTATACAAAGCAGGAAAAATAAACGCCAATGCAGACGCCCTCTCGCGAAATCCTACCCCAGATCCTATGCCCGAAATCGAACGAGTCCTCCCTCTCTCACAAATACAAAGATTGTCCGACTCCAATGAATCCCTATTCACCGCCAAGAAGAAGCGAGGCGCAAAAACTCCACGAATCACAAACAAGCTGGATTGCGGCGAACAGCGTCCCTCACCGACCCCCGATAATTCGAAATCAGAGGAAACAAACTCGCTCCCTAGTTCCAGCGAGGACAGCGACTCGGAAAACGAAACCGATAGCAACTCCAGTTCCAGTAGCGAGGAGTTATTCAAAAACGTAAACAGTCCTTTCATTCCACGGGCCGCCGTGAGGCCCCGCGTGATAAATATCCCGGACAATTTCGCGACACGGAAGGATAACCTTGTCATTTTCATAACGCAACAAGGAACACCGATCGACAAGGGAGCCCAAATATTGCAAGTAGCGAACTCCTTGCCGATGACCAGAGATGCAGCTTTGGGCAGGGCAAGGATAAGTCGCGAGGGCACCCGACGCGTAATTTCACTCGCGGTAAAGGAAAGAATCTCCGGCGTTACCGAAAAAGAAATAATAAAAGAAGCAATACACTCGCTACTAGACGTTATCCGAGAATTGGGCTTCGATCTCGATCAGTAAAGGCAACGTTGACAATGTACATTGGAATACGATATATAACCTCTTAATTAAAATACTAGACGAAATCGACATAAGAATATTTATTTGTACGAACGACATAACGATTCCCGAGAAGGACCAAAGAGAACAAATTCTCGCCGAAAATCATTGTTCCGCGGTAGCAGGACACAAGGGCATCACCAAAACTTACAATAAGATTAAAAAACGCTACACTTGGAGCGGTATAAAAACTGATGTCCAAAATTTCGTCAAAAACTGCCGCGCGTGTCAATTAAAGAAATTGGTTCGCGTAAAAACTAAGCAACCAATGATCCTAACCGACACCCCCGATTCGGCCTTCGAAAAGGTCTCCATGGATATAATGGGTCCCCTCCCAACCACGAAACAAAACAATACGTTGTTACGTCTCGTGGGGTCGCGGCTGCGAAAATTTGAATGCAGAGCTCGGCTTTTTCCACGAGACACGATCGCTATTACGGGTACGCAAATCTATGCGATTCTCCCCGGGGATACCCGCGATCTGAGGTTATTCGCGCTGGAACTGAGGTGATCGGATTATTGCGTGGGACCTACCTGTGACTCTACTGTAATAAAGATAGCTTCGTCGATTGCTCTATGCGAAACGTCGTTGGGGTTGCGTAAGTAATCTTCGTACGTAGACTGGCAAAGCTCGCACAAATCACCAATTTGCGTAAGGGTAAGTCGGAAGTTGCAAACTCCGCAATTTATTCCGATAGGTGTTCCGCCTATGATTAAAGTATGCTTCCGAATCCTTGTCCAAAGTAGTTTTGAGACTCTAGGTAAGGTGGAGTAGCATGAAATGCAGAGGACTGCCTTAGTCTCAAAATGGATGTCCCCTTCGTGGGTCGCGGCCTTGCCGTGGCGAAGGGGCTCACCCTTTGCAAGAGGATAGTCTTGCAAGGGGTGCCAACAGCGACCAGTACCTTACGAGGTACACTGCCCCCGGCCTGGGGGGCACGCCCTTTGTTTGTGGGAACTCTCTTCGGGCGGGGGAAGAACTCCACCCCCGGAGAGACGGGGCCCACTTCCCCGTTAGAGCTTCGGCTCGTATGTGGTAAGGGATGGCGACCCAGAATTCAAACGCCCGGTGGCATGGCACCGTTAGGAGAGGGGATTGCACGGCGCTTCGGCGCTTCCCCTCCCACCATGCTCTGTGGCCCGGTAAGCCTACCGGGTAGGCGGCTTCTGCCGCCCGGGGTTCTCGCCTTTTGCTCTGGGGGGGATTTTTCTGGGGTTTTCTGGGGGAGTCTCCCCCGGGGTCTGGGGTGGGTTCTTTTGGCGGTGGGGGCCGCCGGGGTGGGGAGGTGTGCGAGCCGCGCGTGATCACCCGAGGGGCTTTGCCCGGAGGGTTTCCCGAGGGGCATTGCCCGGAGGGGGTCACGCCGGCGGAGGGACCGACACAGTCACCCGAGGGGCTTTGCCCGGAGGGTTGTCCCAAGGGGCTTTGCCCGGAGGGGGCTGTGTCGGTTGGTCTCCGGGGCCGCTCGGACATATTCCGAGGCGGGGCCCGGAGACAAAGAGGATCCGGAGAGCGCTGTTCGGGACTCCCGGGCTGGGTAGCCTGGGCCTCCGTCCCAGCGTCTCTGGATGGTTCCCGCACCCGGGCCACTCGGACATATTCCGAGCTTGGGTCGGGTGCGGAGCCATGCGCAATCACCCGAGGGGCATTGCCCGGAGGGTGCTGCGCGGGCCTGCCGCTGAGGCCGCCTGGACTTATTCCGGGGCGGGCTCAGCGACGAGAGTAGATACTCCCGGCCGGTCGGGACCGTTTCCCGTTCCGAACCGGCCGACCGGGAGAGGTGATGTCTCCTCCACCGGACACTCCGATGGGGGGACGTGCTGGTCGCCACGGCGGGCAAGGTGTGGACGGGGAGCGGCGTCCTTACCCCAACCGTCCGTGGGCCCCCTGGGTGGCGCCATTCGCAAGGGTGCTCTCGTGGTCGGAGGCGAGAGACCCCCGAAAGCTTAGGCAAGTAAGGGGCCGGAATCCTGTGGCGGGGGTGCGGTATCCCCCCCGCCCCGAGATATAAGTTGACTCTCTTGGAGTACCGGGAGCCCGTCGGGGGGCGATGCCGGTCATGTTTCGGGTTGTCCCTCGGCGGGAGGGAGATACGCCGGTCAATGGAGCCCTTGCAAACAACGGGATTGAACAGAAATGACTGATCAAATAAATAAAAACGAACAAGGTACAAAAAAACAGGGGGTGCCATCGGCAACTAGTGCTGAGAGGCGTGATGAGGAGGAAACAAGACCGGCGAATATTCGGGATATGACGGAAGTGACTGCAAGTGTACAGGGCACAAATGCATCACAGGCAACGGAACAGGAGGGGGATCATGAAAGGGTGGAATCGCCCAATCAAGAATTCCACCGAACCTTTGAGAGGAACTTTGGCGAAAAGGTTCTGAATAACCTAGCCGATCAAATAGGAAGAGAAGTGGCTGAACGTACCATTTCACAGAACAGCCAAAGCATTGCGGCAATCTTGGAGGATTGGAGGGTCAGTCCCTCACCTGTCCCGAAGGAGACGTCTAATGCGACTTTGATGTCGGAATCATTGGCTTTGGACGAGGACAGCCAAACGAGTTTATTCTCCGTACAGTGGCCAAAGGAAGGTACGGGATGGGATATTCAACCAGAAACCGAAATCCCATCAACATTGAAGAAGGATACCTCTAAATTAAACGAGGTGGCAATAGAAGGAACATCTGCGACAGCATCTTCATCTGCTGCTAATCTTATGGATTTTTCCAATGCCTTACTTGGAAAGCGTAGACTTGTTGGTGATGTGAGCACAGAGGAAGAAGACCCTACACCGCAAGTACGGAGGAAGTCTCGGAAGAGTAAATCTAAGTGCATTGTCACAGATAATGAAAAGACTTCCATAAGGAAAACGAGATCTCAGGCGGAAGATAGGCAACAACAACAACCTCAGCCTCAGCCTCAGTTATCTCAGCCAAGTCAAGTGATGGTAACGACTGATTGGAGCAACTGACTCAGTCGTGCTCGGAAGTAGACACTGAGACAAGCTCGAAGAAGCCTCCAACAAAGAAGGTAGCCCGCAAACGCAGATCCGATGAGCCACGATCGATCAACTCCTCCGCCCGCTTCACACGGCGGAGGAGATGGGTATTATGACGGTCAATGATGCTAGCGTGGCGGCTGTTGAGTGGCTAGAGGATATAGACACCATCAGAGTACGCAGTAGTTATCAGGGTGCATTGAGCGGGCAGATTCGTCGAAGGGTGGAAATCGTCAAGGAGACGATTAGACTTCTAGCGGAGAAGCTAGAAGATACTGGTGATCCTGCCTATTTAAGAAGGCGAAATGCAGAATTACTGGCAGAACTCACAACCACAAAACGAGAGTTTGCCAAAATGAAGAGAGATATCGAGGACCTTAAGAGGAAGGTCCAAGACTTAACTAATGCGTTAACGTTCGATATCCAACGTGTCGACAAGGCTACTTCCCCGATGGAAGCTACCCAGAAGAAGAAGGCACCGAGATCTCAATCCCGACATAAAAGTGAAGTAGAGGATAGCGCTCAAACCAATCCAACAGCTGCAGAAATGATTATGAGACCACCGCTCCAAGGTATCTCAAAACCCATTCCAGCAGTAGAGAAGAGTAGATTGCGGTCGCTGCAAGCACATGATAGCAATCTGGATGCTGAACTATCTCGGCAAATAGTTGAACTTACTTCCAGAAGGAGAGAACTCCGACAGGCATCAAGGGGAAATCAGAACACATCCCGAGCACCGAGTCCATCACGAGGGATCCCTCGAGTGATCGGGAATGTCCAAATAACTCCCCCCCTGAGTTCAGTAGAGTTTCCTCCATTACCTCCAGCAGCAACTGTTCCGCAGAGGGATGAAGAAAAGATGGAATGGACGGCGGTGATCTCCAAAAATCAGAGGAAGAAACAGCGCAAGGCAGCCATACAACAAGATGAGAAGCACCCCAATAAAGGGGAACCCAAGGAAAAAGCGAGGAAACAACCAATTGCAAAGGACAATCCTGCTAAGGTTAACCCCCCCTCTGGAAAAAAAAGACGTCGCCCTCCCCGCACCGCGGCGGTCGCTATTAAGGGTGTAAAGGAAGGTTTCTCGTATGCTACCGCACTTCGGGAGTCAAGAGAAAAGATCTTGCTGCCTGAGCTAGGCATAAGTAAGACATCGGTGAGGCACACTGCCAATGGAGGCGTTATTATCGAGGTCCCAGGCCCGGATAGAGCAACCAAAGCGGAAGAACTGAGGAAGCAAGTCTGCAATACCTTGGGCGAAGCAGCAGTGGTGACTAGACCGGTCATCAAGGGAGATGTCCGTCTCATTGGCCTGGACGACTCCGTAGTTCCAGCAGAAATTGCGGACATCGTAAGCGTAGAGGGCGGCTGTAAACCGGATGAGGTGAAAGTGGGCGCGATCAGACCAATGACCAACGGTCTATTCACGGCCTGGGCCCAATGTCCCCTAGGTGCGGCCATCAAGGCTTCCCAAACGGGGAAAATAAAGGTAGGATGGACAATCGCGAAGATTGAGTTGCTGAAGGCCAGGCCTCTTCAATGCTTCCGCTGCTGGGGTCATGGACATCTAAAAGCTAACTGCACGTCACCTAACGATAGGAGCAAGAACTGCTACAGGTGCGGAGAAGAAGGCCACTCTGCGTTGGCTTGTGTTAATCCACCGGCGTGTGTGCTATGCAAGGAACAGGGCAAGGACTCGCGTCATCGTGTAGGCTCCACGCAATGTAAGGCAGACTTCACCACAGTTAAGAGAGGAAAACCGGGTCGGAAGGCCGAAGAAATGATCACGGAAAATGCATAGGATCATCCAATGCAACTTGGCGAACTGCTGGCAAGCCCAGCATCTATTTGAGCAGCACGCCCTAGAACTTCGAGCGACAATCTGTGCTGTTACGGAACCAAGGACCATCCCGGATAATCCTTATTGGCATAGCAGTACCAATAAACTTGCTGCGATTCGATGGTGTCCAGGCGGAAGCATCCAGGCTTGCAGACTTGTATACAGGGCAAGAGACTTTGTGGTGGCCACGATGGGAGAGTACAACGTCATCTCGTGCTACATCTCCCCCAACGTCCCAATCCAGGATTTCCAGACCTTCCTAGACGAGATCGGAGTTGCCCTGATAAACTTACCCGGCAGGACAATAATATGCGGAGACTTTAACTCAAAGTCTAGATTATGGGGGTCAACACGTACGGATCAGCGAGGAGAGTACGTAGAGGAATGGGCCGCGGAATATAACCTGTGTTTGACCAACACAGGCAATGCTCCCACATTCGTGCGACCCCAGGGGAGCTCTATCATGATCTGTCCTGGGTTACAAGCGATATTGTAACCCGTATACATGATTGGCGTGTGATGTCGGAAATCGAGTCGCTGTCGGATCATGAATACATCTCCATGTATGTTGGTCGGACAGGCGCTGGACTGAATAGGAGAAACAAGACCCAAACTAAGTATCCGAAGTGGAACTGGAAGAAGCTCGATGTGGATCTGTTCCAGGCATCTCTGGTGTGGAACGCAGAAACGGCCCCATCGGAAGAAAGCATATCCGCCACCAAATACGCGAAATGGCTCAAACGCACGGTATATAAGGCCTGCGACGCAGCTACCACGAGAACAGGCCCTCGCCCACCTAAGGAACAGATGTATTGGTGGAACTCCGAGATCAACGAGGCAAGGAAAGCTTCACTACAGGCACGCAGAGCATGGACGCATGCTAAAGAGAGGAAAAGGCCCCGCGAAACTGTCGAGGAACTTCGATCGGCGTACAACACGGCTAGACGCTCGCTCAGGCGAGAAATAAACAAAGCCAAATCTACTGCGTGGGGAGAGCTGATCAGGACGATTGATGATGACCCCTGGGGAAAGCCTTACAAGCTGGTGATGAGCCGTCTAAGGAGCGCTACACCCAGTCTTACCGAGACAGTCGACAGAGAGATCCTGGACCTTATGCTAGATACTCTGTTTCCGCAGGGGAGAGTATTCGACCCTGCTCTCCACTGGGAAGAATGGCAGTGGGAGGAAGAGTGGTCCATCACATACCTGGAAGTCTGGAAGATAATCAGGGATAAAAAAGGCAACAACACCGCCTCCGGCCCTGATGGTCTGATAATAAGTATCTTCGGCAAGTTTCCTCCAGAGATGTTGGCTAAGCTGGTGGAGTGCTACAACAGATGCCTAAAAGAAGGAGTGTTCCCGAACGAGTGGAAGACGGCCAAGTTGGTCCTTATCCCTAAAGGCAACACCACAGAGGATAACATAATCCCTAAAGTAAGGCCAATCTGTCTCCTAAATGAAGTTGGCAAACTACTGGAGAGGGTGATAGTCAATCGCATCAACGAATGGATGAACAACAATCCTAGGCTGCAACTCTCGGACAACCAATACGGTTTCCGAGAAGGGAGATCCACATGCGACGCTCTCCATAGGGTTCAAAGCATTATACGTGATACGACGGAGGAAGGCGGGGTGGTAATTGCTGTCAGTATAGACATCGCAAATGCCTTCAACTCGCTACCGTTCTCGGCCATCAGAGAAGGACTGAGACAGAAACAAGTCCCAGAATACCTAAGAAGGACTATAGACGCGTATCTATACAATAGATACATTGAATGCTTGGACCAAGACGGAAGGACAGTGAAGAAACCTATGCTGGCTGGTGTCCCGCAGGGTTCCGTACTCGGGCCTACACTGTGGAACATCGGCTATGACGACATCCTGCAGAAGGGCTCGGAAATGGGGTGTCATACAATTTGCTATGCGGATGACACCCTCATACTTGCTACGGCAGAAACCGTTAACAACGCGGTCGCAAGAGCTAATTTGCAAGTCAACTTAGTCCTGAATAGAATCAAGAAGCTGGGTCTTACTGTCTCTGTTCACAAGACGGAGGTAGTACTCTTCTATGGCCGGAGACACAAACAACACGTCGATCCACCACCATCTGTCACAGTTGGAGGAGAGAAGATAACACCGAAGCCGCACATGAAGTATCTGGGGGTCATCCTGGACAGCAGATTGAACTTCCGTAGCCACTTCGAGTATATAGAGGAGAAGGTAGGCAAAACAATGAGGGCCTTGTGTAGATTAATGCCCAATCTGAGAGGGCCCGGAGAGAAGAAGCGTAGGTTATACGCCAATGTAATCCTGTCGATCATCCTATACGCGGCACCTATCTGGAGCGACGCTCTTACCTCCTCTAGGAGAAGTAAAGAGAAGTTAGACAGATTGATGAAGGTCACCAACACCAGGACCATATCGGCATACCGCACGGTCTCTCTGGATGCATCATATCTGCTGGCGAGGACTCCACCCCTACATCTTCTGGTAGCAATGCGCAAGAGAGTGTACACTAGATGTATGGAGGCTAAAGAGAGAGGAGAGTGCTCTATCCAAGAGTGCAGCGAGATTCGAGAAGAGGAAGCACTACTAACTGAAAGGCAGTGGAAAATGTATGCGAGCAGACCGCTTATAGCGGGCAAGCGCACTAGAGACGCCATCCTTCCCAATTGGGCACACTGGCTGGAGAGGAAACACGGTGGGCTGACCTTCCACATCACACAGCTGTTGACGGGTCATGGATGCTTCGCTTCTTACGTCCAACGAATCGGCAAGGTGGACTCCCCAAGGTGTACACACTGCAGTGGGAACTACATAGATACCTCCGAACACACGTTACAGAAATGTGAGGCGTGGAAAGAGGAAAGAGAAGACTTAACGAAAATAATAGGTCTAGATCTATCGTTAACATCAGTGGTGCAGGCCATCAGCACTAGCAAAGAAGCCTGGGGGGCTTTCTCCGCGTTTGCAGACAAGGTCATGCTCCGGAAAGAGGACATCGAACGGGAAAGACAGGCTCGAGAGATTCTGTCTGCTCCCACAACGGACAACGGAGAAGACATGGCTACGGACGAAGACTCGTAACCATCAGACACAGAGAGGTAACTGGTTAGAAAGACCAGTTAGGACGGAGCGTATACGGATATGCGTACGTGTGTGTGTGTGTGTATGAGTAAGGGAGAATGTATGGGTGTGAGAACGTATGAGTGCGTGTGTGTGTGTGTGTATGTGTATGTAAATAGGTATAAATGAATGTAAGTATGTGTAAGTATGAATTGAATGTATATATACAAGGGATGCTCGCGTGCACGTGTATGCTTCGTATAGGAGTATATGTATCTATGTGCATACGATAAGTTATTCACTAGTATGCACATGAGAATAGAGGCACACGAACGGGGGGTCGTCTGTTGACTCTGGACCGAGTGTGTATGTATGTATGTTTGGACGGATGACGTACTATAAAGTACAAGTAAGGAGACCTCTCTCTCCCCCTCTCTTCCCCCGCCTCCTCGCAACGCGAGTCTGGTGGGGGGGGAGGGGGAGAGAGAGAAGAGAGGAGAATGATCAAGGACCAGTAAGAGGAAGAAGAAGAAGGAAGATGCGTGAAAACGCACCTGGGTTGGGTCCGCAAAGGTAATAAACACAACAGTTCTTGCGGATCCAACTGTTACACAGAGGCGAAGGTTAGCTTCTGTGTACGGGCGGAGGTTTAGTGGGTAGGACTAGCTGAGGCTGTTGCCTTGGTTGGGATCCCTACGGCTGTCGGGCCATTTCGATGGCTCGGTTACGTGGGAAACTAACCAGGGCGAGGTGCCTCAGTACCGGGGTAACTAGTACCCCGGGCATAGGTGAGTCCCACATAACCCGGTGGGGACGGCCCCACTGTGGTATGCGTCAATGCATTCCTCCGCCTTGCGCCGATCGCAAAAAAAAAAAAAAAAGTCTCAAAATGGATGTACCCGACACCAACTTGGCAATAGAATAAGGGTTCAAACGGTACAAAGAGATTAACTTCTGGAGGAGGGGTTATGCCTCTAAGGGTGAGTGGGCACATTTGTGCTTGTTGCGTAATCGAATTGATAATGCGTCATTCGCTCGTAGATCTTCGGTGAACCCGGCAGTTATCGAGAAGTTAGTAGTCGTCAGCAAAACCGTCGGTAATTGTTCAGTAAAACACTGGTAAGGTGCCAGTAAGGTGTCGATAACCCGTTGGTAAAAGAACGTACGTCGGTATATGGTTGGTAATGTCGGTATAAGAACGTATGTCGATATATAGTCGGTAATGTCGGTAAAAGAACGTATGTCGGTATATTGTCGATAACGTCGGTAAAAGAACGTATGTCGGTATATCGTCGGTAATGTCGGTATGTCGGTATATTGTCGATAACGTCGGTAAAAGAACGTATGTCGGTATATCGTCGGTAATGTCGGTAAAAGAACGTATGTCGGTATATTGTTGGTAATGTTGGTAAATCGAGAGTGTTCTCAATTGATTATTGTTTAAATGACTACTTGTTGTACGGATTTACGAAGTTATTTCTTGAGACACAAAGATTTTTAAGAGATTAAACTATTTGCGTTTTCCGTGTTAGAATTCCGAGGGTTGCACCGCGCGTGGTGGTCGACCCTAGTTTTATAGCCCGACCCTTTTTTTTTATAGCTTCCGCAGTGACGATGGAAAAGAGGAAAAATGCGTCGGAGATTTTTCTAGAATGTTCTCTTCCACGTGGTAGAAGCGTCTCTGAATTTGCTAACACGCGCGATTTCTTAGGTTAACGTGAATTTCACTTACCTTTAGTAGCACTTTCTTGATCGTGTCGGCTCGTACTTGGAAGTAGTGCGTGCGGCGAGGGTTGTTCACTGGGATGTTGGGCAGCGGCAGGCGTCGTGGTCGGAAAGTTATTGGTATGCACCTCCACGGTAAGAGTTCGTCGTTGTTATTATTTTTAATGTTAAAAATGTTCTCGTATTCAGGATCAGCCTGATATTCCACTCCGAGGAATTGAGAATATTCCTCGGTCGCTGATTCACGATAGAGTCGATTTAGTTTTCGTAATTGATTCTTCCTTCCTGCGCGTCGCGTCTTAGGCATATTGAATTTGATGCATCCTCTGAATGATTACTCAAATAAGGAAGGTTGATATGCGGCGGACCTCACTATCAGTTCCTTATTTTGGCAATTGCTGAGAATGTTAATTCTAACTGTGATGAGCGGTGGTCCGTTCCAGACACAGTTTTGAATTGTTCTGAATTCAAACGCCGTATGACAGATTTAAGCGCTATCGTGTTTTATCACGGGAGTGGAAGTTTTGAAGAGTACTGAACACTGGTTTTCACACATGAATACACTGGTTTATTCGTATAGTAGTACAGAATTCGAAACTAGAACTTAGAATTAGAATTTAGACTTAGACTTAGAATTTAGATTTTAGAGTTAGGATATTATACTAAGAGTTAGAATTTTTGAATTAGAGTTAGGATTTAGAATTTGGACTTAGAGTTAGAATTTAGAAGTGCGACTGTACTGTTCGGTGTCGCGCAGAGAACTGGTGAAATTCGGGACTGCTCTGAGGTCCTTCGTTTCGGCGGCTCGGGCCTGCGGCGGCCTGGAGAGGGGGAACTCTCCGGAGTAGGGGTTCTCACCGTGGTGGGAGATCCTTAGGCGCTACGAAGCGCCACGCTTAGTTTCTAGGCGGAGTTAAGCGTCATGGCCGGCTTTGGCGCGCTTTTCAAATAGCGTTTAAGGAACTTGGAGTAAACGAAAAAATTTATACGGCCGGACGTGACAACGTACATCCTAACTATACAAGACCTGCTAACCAAATACTCCCTTGCGATCCCACTCCAACAAGCAGGAGCGATACAAGTAGCAGAAGCATTTACTAACGACCTCATTTGTACATTCGGCGCACCGGCGATCCTCACCGACCAGGGCTCACACTTTATAAACAGCCTCATGAGGACAGTAGCCCGAAAATTTAAAATCAAGCAATGTAAGACCACAGCGTACAGACCACAAGCGAACGTATCGGTAGAACAATCACACCAGGTACTCTGGGAATATCTGAAGCAATTTGTTGATAGAAATAGTGAATGGGATCAAATTTTAAAACTAGCATCGTTTTCGTATAATACGAGCGTACATGAGGGTACGAAATACACTCCGTATGAACTCATTTTCGGGAAAATCGCGCGGGTCCCCTCGAGCGACCCGGACATCGAAAGCATGACTAACGAAAGCTATACACAATATTTAACCACACTATTCAACAAATTGCGCGATTCCCAAACAGCCGCACGCGAAAACTTAAATAATGCTAAGAATAGAAGTAAGAAATACTACGATAAAAAAATCAATACACGTAAATTTAAGATTAACGATAGCGTTTACTTACTTAAAGAACCTAACAGAGGGAAATTAGGAGACCAATATACAGGTCCCTATAGGATAATAAAGATACTAGGAAAAAATAATGTTAAGTGGGCCTTCGGCGAGCACTTCCGCCAATTGACCCCGAGGGTAAACAAGGCAGCGATGGCGCTATGCCGACTGCTGCCAAACCTCGGGAGACCGGACGGAGGGGTTCGCCGATTGTACGCCGGAACCATACACTCTATGATCATGTACGGGGCCCCCGTGTGGGCGGAAAAAGTGGAGGCCACCCGCAGGATAAAAGATGCGCTGCATCAATTGCAAAGGCGGGTGGCCAACCGAATCTGCCGGGGGTTCCGTACCGTAAGCTGGACGGCCGTGGGGGTACTCTCAGGAGTGCCCCCTATAGAATTACTAGCCCGCATGTACGCCGAAGTATACAGGCGTACACGCGGGCTACAAAGGCAGGGAACGGCCGTCACAGCTGGTGTCCGGCGTGCATTGAGGACTCACACCCGACGGCAATTAATAGAAAGCTGGTCCGGCATGTTGCAAAACCCGCAGCTGCCGGGGCAGTGGACCGTCGGGGCCATCCGGCCCTGCCTGGAACAGTAGCTGGGCAGGGCCAAGGGGGGTGTTACCTACCGAATGACGCAGGTGCTCACCGGGCATGGATGCTTCGGTGAGTACCTGTGTCGCATCAAGAAGGAGCGCACGACACGCTGCCACCATTGCAGCAATAGGAGGGATACCGCCGGCCACACGCTCCAAGAGTGTGTGGCCTGGACGGAGGAGAGGGAAGAACTAAAGGCGAGTATCGGAGGAGGGGACCTCTCTCTACCATCTGTGGTAAGACAGATGGTGGAGAGAGAAGAAGTATGGAAGGCATTCTCCTTCTTCTGTGAGAGAGTGCTCTTACAGAAGGAGGAGGCAGAGAGAGAGAGGGAGAGGGCTGGGAGAGATGCCTCTCAGCCCTCGGATGAAGACGAGGACGGAGGCAGCAATCCTGGAGATGGGGGCGGGCCCCCCCTCTCCCGCCGTTGGCGGGTTCGCCCGTCCGTGGCGGGGGTGGGGGGAGATGCGCCCTCAGGAGGGGAGACAGAAATGGGCGCGGGGACGGGCCCTCTCTTTTCCCGCCGTCGGCGAGCTCGCTCGTTTGTGGCGGTGGGAATCGGGGGGGGCGCGTCCTCAGAGGAAGGGGAGGAGACAGAAATAGGCGAGGGGGCGGGCCCCCTCTTTTCCCGCCATCGGCGAGCTTGCTCGTCTGTGGTGGCGGGAATCGGGGGGGGGGCGCGCCCCTGGTGGAAGTAGAGATGACAGGAGTGGGGACGGGCCCCCTCTTTTCCCGCCATCGGCGAGTTCGCTCGTCTGTGGTGGCGGGAACCGGGGGGGGCTCGCCCTCAACGATGCAACAGGCAGTCGCGGAGGAGGGGGTGGGCCCTCTCTTTCCCCGCCATTGGGGAGATCACTCTCCCGTGGTGGCGGGGGGCGGGGAGGGTCCGCCATCTTGACACCCGCGCCGTATGACGCGGGGTGAGGTTGCCGGGGGGGGTCGGGGACAATTAAGTCCATGGACTCCCCCCCTAAGACCTCTCGAGAATCGGGGGCGTGGGTGCGCCGCCTCGACTAGGCGGGGTGGGCGCGGCCACGCCCCCGAACGGGAAATCCCCCTGATTGCGGCCGAATCCCTGACTCCCAAGGGAGCGGAAGGAGCCGTAATCGGGGGGACCGAGGGGGGGCCACGCGTCTCTCGGGACGCCTGGGCCCACCTCTATGACGGAGACGTGACGCGCGGGGCCCTCTCACCGGGAGCCACAAGGCACCGGTGGGAGGGCAACGCCGTTCACGGAGGGGGTTTCTCTCCTTCTGAGAGGAACTCCCTGGAGAGGGCCTCCGGGGCAAATGCCGAATCCCCATTCCCTTTGGGAGGGAGAGGGAGCACCGCTCCGGAGGCGGGGGGTGGCGGCTCGAGCGGGACACTCGAGCCGTGACCCCGCCCTCCAAACTCTTTGGGAGGGCGCGACGTAGGGTCGATACCGCCCTGCGTCGCAACCGCGAGAACCCCCGCACGATGCAATCCGCGGGGGGGGGAGAGTGCCGCCTTCAGCGCTGAAGGCGGCACTCTCCCAAGGAGGGATTAGGCGGGGGGGCGGCCAGTCGGCATGGAAACCAGCATCCTGGCCGTTCCCCATTAACGCCCGTGAAGGTATCCGCAGTAGGTTTAGTGAGGTATGTCTTGGGCCCCCTGACCGATCCACACGTGGATCGGCCAAGGGGAACAAGAAGTCCCACATAACCATTCTGGCCTTTTCCCGGAGGCCGGAGGTATCCATGAGGATTCCCACTGCGAAAAAAAAAAAAAAAAAAAAAGGAAAAAATAATGTTAAGTTAGCTATAAGTAATACTTCCCTCAGGGGCACTACAGACTCATCCCTGTAGTGTACGGGTGTCGCAATCCCGAGGTACCCGAGCTGGAGTGCGTGGTGATGGATGAACGAGGTGCGATGGGCGTGCAGGCCCTAAAAAGGACTTGTCCACTGCACTAGGTGAAGGAAAACACCGAAGATAACACCCGGGGTGGGGGCCCCGTTAGTTGAGTAAGGCAACCTCCTAAGGGGAAGGAAAACCCCCGACAGAAAAAACCAATTTTTCTTCTAGCAATCATGAGGAGCACAAAGAAGAAAGCGAACGTCCTGGGTTCGGATACCAGGAACCGGCGTGGGGGAGGTGTAGGCCTGGCTCCCCCCTCGTCGTCATCGAGCGACAGGTCGTCCGCGGATTTGCCGGCTGGGTCCGCGGATAAGCACACTACAGTGCCGACGATTGAAGTCTTTGACCGGCTGAGGGCGATGCAAATCAGGTTCGAGTCCCGTGTTATCGGTGATGATCCTCGGGACCTGGTGCGTGAGATGACGGCTCTTATTGGGTCCAGGGAGGCTCGATTCTTCCGGGGAAGAGCACCGTATGAGAAGATGCTGGCTTTTTGCCGGCTATTCTTAGGATTTTGTGCCACAAACTCTACCCGGTGGTGTGCGGCACACAAATGCATCCTGGTCAATCTGGCGAGTGAGAGAGTCTTACCTCGCCTGAGGACCGTCGGATTGACTCTACAGGATGAGGATAGGTGGTCGGCGGAATTTGGTTCCCAAGATCTTGTTCGGGAGAAGGAGGAGATCCGCGGCGATGATCCTCAAGTAAGTGGAGATATGTCAGGGGCAGGGCTGGTTGCTGCCGCTTCCCCCCTTTTAGGGGGGTCGCTTGGCGCGATCACCCTGTCTGACGACTCTATGGTGGTTTCTTCTCCGGGGCCCATTGAGAAGGAGGAGGCCCTGGAGTCTACAAAGACTGAGGAATGCGCATTCCTTAGAGAGGAGGTTGTTTGCCTTCGGGAGCGCGTCGAGCAGCTTGAGAGGGACAATAAGTCCCTTCATGAGCTGTTAGAGGCGAATAGGAGAGTGGCTGCGCTTTCTCCCTCTTCTGGGGAGAAGGAGGCGCCTCTTAAAAAGAGGAATACGGCTGCCCGCAGACGGGTGATGATGCATGGGTCGGAACTGCCTGGTGGGGCTGTTGTCTCTGAGAAGGGACAGCCTTCGCTTGGTAGGACAGCGGCGGAAATTTGGAGCACTTCGTGCGGGATAGATCTTGGTGAGGAGGATCCACACCAGCAGCTGCTGGCGCGGGTGGATCTCCTCATCGAGAAGCGAGTTGCCGGGGCGGTCGAGGGCCTGAGGCGGGCTATGGAGTCCCTCAGGTCCTCCTTGGTTTCCCGGGGGGAGGAGGTAGGGTCCTCTGCCGCTGCCCTCCCGGTTAAGGAGGTTTCCCCCGTCCTCTCGACGCCTGTGCGTGGGAGACGGGGTCGGGGTGCGAGGAGGGTGGTCTCCTTCTCGGGGGTTGGGTCTCCGTCCCTGTCGGTGGCTAATTTGGCCGCTGGGGGGGTTGGGGGCATTGGGCCCCGGGGGGGTCTAGCCGAGGTTCCGCGTCCAAGGTCGGTTATGCGGAAGAGAAGGGTCCCGAGACGGCTTCGGCAGCCCAACTCAGCGGCGGTGCATGTGACCTCTGTCGGTGACAAGAGGTCATATGCGGAGATTTTGCGGGAGGCCGGGGAGTGCATCAGCTTGGAGGAACTCGGCATTTTTCCGCTGAACATGAGGTTCACCGCCACTGGGGGCTTGCTCTTGCAAATCCCTGGTGGAAACACTGGTGAAAAGGCGGACCTCCTGGCGGGTCGCATCCGTGGTGTTTTCGCGGATCGAGAGGACGTGGTGATCTCCCGCCCCAAAAAACCATGGATCTTCGGATCCGTGGGACTATGGGGGAGGGAATCGCTTCTCGGGAAGATATCCGCGGCGCCCTGGTGTCTCTGGGGGGATGCTCGTCCGGGGATGTTCGGATCGGAGAGATCCGGACTCCTCGGGGCTCTCCCTGGAGCACGGTGTGGGTGCGTTGCCCGGTGGCAACGGCGCGCAAAGCTGTATCCGCGGGTAGTATCAAGGTGGGCTGGGGGATGTTGGGGGTGGAGCTGCTTGGCGCCCGCCCCTTCGGTGCTTCCGCTGCCTTGAGGTGGGGCATACTCGTCATCGATGCTCGGGGGGAGTCGATCGTTCCGACCGCTGCTATCGTTGCGGCGTGTCGGGACATCACGCGGCGGTCTGTGGCGCCACTCCCCGCTGTCCGATTTGTTCGGACAGGGGGGTGTCGGCGGCCCACTCGTTGGGGGCTCAGGGGTGCCTGAGGCCCTCAGTTTCCGGGGTGGATGGCGGGCGCCAGGCTCCGGGTCGTCCTGTTGGGGGACGGCCTTTGGAGATCGGGGCTGCCCCAGTTGGCGCTCCTGCTGCGGAGCGCGTGCAGGCTTCGGGGCCCCCTGTCGGGAGGGCTCCCGATAGCCCCGAGTGGCTGGAGGTGGACTGCAGTCGGGGGCGGGGGAGGTCACGGAGAGGTGGCTCCCCTGTGCCGGGCTGCAGCTCTGCTCCCAATGTTTAGTGTGGTTTTTGTTTTTGTCGTAGTGTGTAGCGGTGGGTGCGGGGAGTTCTGGGGAGGTTGCCGAAAGGCGACTCCGTAGTCTCTTCATGTAGTAGGTCGCGGCGATGGGATTGAGTGCCGGAAAGGTTGCCGCAAGGTGACTCCGCGGCCTCTTCACCCACGCCAAGTCCATGTGTACTAGTCCTTTCGTCTTTCGTCCATAAGGTGGTGCAAACATCATGCACCACCCTTTACCTGTGGTCGGCCATTGGGCCTTTGATGTTGGCCCCCTCGAGGGCTGGGCCTGTGGCCCTTATTTGGTTTTTGTTTTGTGGATGTGAATATGTCTGTCCACGTAGTTGGTGACGTCCTGTGACGTCTTAAATGTGGGGTGGGCGGCTGCGGCCGTCTCACTTACCGGGTTCGGCAGGGAGAAGGGTGGGGGCCCTGATCCTATTGCACGTCGACCCAGGGAAGTCCGGGGGAGCTAGTAGCCCGGCTCCCTCCGATGCCCTTTCGGGGCAAGGGAATGTCCTCTCCGGGAGGATACCTGTAGTATCCTTCCGGGGGATGTGTCCTACCTTAAGGACGCCGGTCGGGTGTCCACCATGATGTAATGCGTTAGCGGTTCCGCGGTGGACAACACCCATACGACCAGGGGCTTCAGTCAGGTTTTAGGTCGGTCCCCCGTCCGATAGTCCCTCGGGATACTACGGGCGGGAATCCACCACAAAGCCTCCTGGCCCTCCCTCAGGGGTCAGGACGGCGAAGTTTGGTTTAGGCAAATTTCCTGACTTAAAAAAAAAAAAAAAGAGCTATAAGTAATACTAAGACTAAAACTGTACATATGGACAAGTTAAAGCCCTCATCACATCAAGCCCCCACCCTTGAAGACCCCCACTCCGAAGACGAATATATTTCGGACGCCCCAACGGAGGACGGGCCAGTAATCAACCAACCACGCTAAGATGAGGACTCTCGCAATCATCCTGGGCATAGCCTTCCTGGCCCCACTATCCAACGGACTAATCGGATACGACTGCGGAGGACGGGGCTTGAACATCACAACACTCTCCCTCTTAGATATCGAAGAGTGTAAAACCGACAGCATCGAACCTAAGAAGGAGGAAGTCTATATACAACTACTCCAACTCAGTGAATTCGTGCATACTCCTGCCTACCAATGCAAAATCGAAATAGACCGGACTATATTTTACTGCGGAATGCACTCTCATATAGCAGCGGTGCAGAACGGAAGACAGGAGTATATTCACGAAATATCGGCAGACACATGCCGAAAATTGCACGAAACAGGGACCATATCCCTAGGAGTTAACCAGCACATTACTGGGATTAAGCCAACTGCAACAAACCTAAGAGCAATGACACTCGCAGGATCAGTTAAGACAGACAGAAAATGCAGCGGCACCCAGTTCAGCGACGCATACGGCTCATGGGACGACGTGATCGTGCAAGCCTCAGTACGAATCACGATACGACAATTGGAGCTGCCCGTTGGATACAATAACAATAAAGTGATACTTCCATCCGGCACTCGCTGTCCCGTAACGACAGGCGAATGCATTGATGCCGACGGCGCCTCCACCTTCTGGACAATCCTGCCAATTGACAACTGTCACTTTAAACGATACGATGTCCTCTACGAAGGAATAGCATATCGATTGTCGCCCAGCACTCCCCAAGAGGAAGCGCCAACGATTTATACAGTCACGGCGCGTGACACAACCTTCGCATTAGCAAGGACAACCGAGACCAACGTATGCGGATACAACCTTTGGCGAACGGAACATCCCAAGCTGTGTATTCTCGAAACGAGGCCCGAACGGACATTCAAAAGCCGTTTCAAGGTCAGAATCGACAACCTCGACATCTTCACATATGTAACGTCCAGACAAATTTTAAAATTTCAATCTTTTTCAAAAATTTATCCTTTAACATGTTAGTCATGACAATCGCTAACCTACATGAAAGACCGGTATTAACAAATATTTAATCTCACATATAATTGCTCATAAGTTAAAACATGTTTTCTCACGAATGACAATGGGAATAGCAACCCACTTTTAAGTAACATTTCCGTTCCGAATCATTCGTTAGGAAACATACAGGTTAGAGAATGATAGATATAAAATATTAAAAAAAAATAGAAATTCGTTACTAACGCGAATTACCCATCAATTTACATATAACTATGGAATAAAAATGTAAATTGATGAGTTTTAACCGTCTATTGTGATTTTCAAATTATAAGTATAAAATATTAGAAAAATTAGAAATCCATAGAAATTCGTTACTAACGCGAATTACCCATCAATTTACATATAACTATGGACCAAAAATGTAAATTGATAATAAGCTTAAACGACTTGACTACGACGTAACTAGCAATTTTATTTGATTATTTCACGACGTTTCGACCATTTGGTTGTGGTCCTTTTCAAGTGAAATTTCTACAACATAATGTTACACAATATTTTTAACATACGAAAACTCATTTAAGTGTTAAATTAATAAAATAAGTATAAATTTTATAAACATACCATCAATTAAACCGAGGTTAACATAACATCACACCGGTGTTATTTGAAATCGAAAGTTAAACGTTAAAAGAGGAACACGTCCCATCGTTATATGTTAAAAGTAAAAAATTAAAAGAGGAACACGTCCCATCGTTATGATGTTTCGTCAACGACTAAACTTGAAACGCGCCACTAAACAATCTTTATTATTTTGTCGTAAATGTTTGTCAAATTCTCGGTGTCTTTCTGTAGGTTAACTGTATTGTCATGCTTCTTTATGAAGAACATTTCAGCAATCTCTCTCTTTCTTACATGTTTCTCGTTATGTAAAATTGTCGGTGATTTCCAATCAAAGTTATGCCCCAAAATCACATCTGTGTTTGCTCAAAACCGAATGATTAGATTCATGTAATTTAATATTGCTGGCATGTTCCTTCACTCTAGTGCATAAATGTCTTTTTGTTTGTCCAATGTATGATGCATTACAATTTTCACAGTTAATCTTGTAAACTACATTCGTTTTAATATCATTAGTTATTAAATCTTTACCTCGTTTTATCAGCCTATTCAACTTTTTTGGCAAACTATAAACGACATTTATGTTAGCACTATTAAGTGACCTTTTAATACTGTCGCTAACGTCTTTAACGTATGGGAGTGGAATTACATAATTCTTATCTTGAGCCGAATTCACATTAACGTTATTATCTAAATCGTTACTCAAACTGTCGTTATTATCCGCATTGTGACCGTTACCATTCCTGTTGTTCTTCAGTACATTAATTCTTTTATTTACATACTTATTAATAATATGATCCGGAAAACAATTATTAATTAAAATGTTCTTTACAATCTCAATATTCGTATTATGAAATTGTTCGTTAGAAAGTAAAATTGCATGGTCTACTAAATTGTAAATCGTATTAATTTTGTACTTAATAGGATGACTCGAAAGAAAATTGATGTATCTGCCAGAACATGTAGGTTTCCTAAACCAATTAGTTGTCAATTTATTCCCATTGCGGATAACTGTAGAATTTAAAAAATTAATAGAAGAATTGGTCTCTATTTCATGTGTGAATTTTAAACGTTCATGATAATTATTAAATGTACTTAAAATTTCATTTATTTTAGAGTTAGGTAAAATAACAAAAATGTCGTCCACATATCTATAAAAAGTCTGAACTTTAAAACTTAAAGAACTTAAACAATTTGTTTCCAAGTCATCCATTACTAAGTCAGCTAGTATCGGTGATAGAGGGGATCCCATAGGGCTTCCATAAATTTGTTCATAATACTGCTCGTTAAATTGAAAACTCGTTGAAGTAAGTATTACATCAACAGCGTATAGGAACTGTTGCAAATTAAATTTAGTTTTTAGACTTATGTCACTCCAACGACCCTCAATTGCAGAAAAAACTAAATCTTTTGGAATATTTGTAAACAACGAACAAACATCTAAGGAAATCATTACGTCATCGTCATTAACCATTGTATTTTTAATAGTATTCACAAAAGTCCAAACATCCTTAACATTAGAATCCGGTTTCTTAACAGACTTAACTAATATCTCATGAATGTAACTGGCAATATTATAAAAGGGACTGCCTAACGATGACACAATGATCCTCAATGGATACCCGCTCTTATGGATCTTCGGGAGTCCATAACACCGTGGTAAATTACCATTTGTGCAATTCAGAAATTTATATGTTTGATCATCAATGATCTCATTATTATGCCATGACTTTACTAACGTATGAAGTTTGTTCGTCAGACGTGTAATCGGATTTTTATTTAATTTTTTGTATGTCATCGAATCACTTAACAATAATTCCATATTAGTCACATAATCATTTCTATTCATAACCACTGTCACTTGTCCTTTGTCAGCTTTGGTAACAATTAAATCTTTATTGTTCTGCAGATATTTATTAGAAATATTAAACGCATCATGAATAAATCTGTCACTATAATTGATATGTTTACTTTTAGACAGAAATTTTTGTAGTGAATTGGCAATGGATATTCTAGTTGTTTCCAAAGCATCCTCAGGAACATAACGACAATTCGATTCAAAATTCTTTATCACCTCAACAGTATAATTTAGTCGATCGTTCTTATTTGAGCAATGAATCGGTAAGGCAAACGTATCGCCTAAACTTAAGAGTTTAGATACAGTATCAGGTAACACTTTAGAGCTGATATTTATTAACCAGTTGGAATTGTCGATGTTTTCCAACGGATTTGACAATACCATATATTTCTGTTTCATCCTATCAAACTTTTTATCATCCTACTTTTTATTCTATAATTAAAGTTATTTAGTCGTTGTTTACTTAAACGAAAAAACTGATTTACCACGTTATTAGGTAAAGAATCAAACAATTTTTTCACTATATTAGAGATCTTACACCGAATGAAATTTAGGTTTGTGTTCAAATCTTTAATCTCCAAATTCAATAATCTAACTTGATTATTCTTAACTATAGTTTTAAACCTTCGTTTCGCATAGGCACTGTGAAAACTAATTTCAGTCTTTAGGTTCTTGATGTGTGACGGCACAATGTCATATCTTCGACATCGGAGTAAAAATTTTAGTTGATGGTTACAAGCATAAAAATTCTTCTTGCATTTAATCCATGACTTAAACAAATAGGCGGTCTCGTTATTATATTGTTCAGAAATGTGTTGGAAA